CCAAAGATGAAAACCTCCTAGAATGCATATGGATCAACATAAAAGAAAAAAAGAATGACATTGCCATAGGTGTATATTATAGTCCAGTGGTGGCGAACCTATGACACGGGTGCCAGAGGTGGCACTCAGAGCCCTCTCTGTGGGCACGCACACCCTTGCCCCAGTCCTAGGCCTTCAGCTGGGTTTTATCAAACCTTTTCATTTTAGGCCTCCGCCGCTGTGTGCAAAAAAAAAAAAAGGTTCAATCAGTCAATTTCAACTTCTTGCGGGAAAAAAAAAGATCTTGCAAAGTTGGAATTGATTGATTGAATTTTTTAGGCCCACCCAGTCTGCTGTTACCACCACTGCCACACCCACCCAATGGGCCACACCCACCCGGCACTTGACGATGCATAAGTGGGTTATGGGTTGCAGTTTGGGCACTCGGTCTCTAAAAGGTTCGCCATCACTGTTATAGGCCATTCAACCAGGCAGAAAAAAATAGATGTACTTTTTGCTAACCAATTAACAAATATATGTAGGAAACACACTACAATAGTAATGGGGGACTTCAATTACCCTGACATCAGCTGGAAGACTAACTCTGCACCAAGGGAGAAATCGAACAGATTCCTGATCAACCTAGCTGACAACTCTGTTGTCCAAAAGGTAGAAGAGGGAATTAGAGGAAAAGCCATACTGTGATGGAGTTGAAACTGCAGGAACCTGTGGAGAAACGTAAGGTCTTAGACTTAGACAAGAAAAACCAAAAGTACACATATAGATTGGGTGAAACCAGGCCAACAGTGTGCAGCGGCAGCTAAAAAAGCCAATGCAATCCTAAGTTGCATCAACAGAAGGATTCAATCAAGATCACCTGAGGTACTAATACCACTCAATAAAGCCTTAGTAAAATTACACCTAGAATGCAGCAACCAGTTTTGGTGTCAACACTATAAAAAGATGTTGAAACTCTGGAAAAGTGCAGAGGAGAGCAACAAAAATGATTAGGGGACTGGAGGCTAAAGCATATGAAGAACGGTTATAGGAACTGGGCATGGCCAGTCTAGTGAAGAGAAGGATCAGGGAGTCATGATAGCAGTCTTCCAATATTTGAGGGGCTGTCACAGAGAGAAGGGGAGACAACCTATTTTCCAAAGCACCTGAAGGCCAGACAAGGAATAATGGATGGAAACTGATGAAGGAGGGATTCAATCTAGAAATAAGGAGAAATTTTCTGACAGTGAGAAATCAGCCAGTGGAACAGACTGCCTTCAGAAGTTGTGGGAGCTTCATCGCTGGAAGCTTTCAAGAAGACACTGGCCTGCCATCTCTCAGAAGTGATATAGGGTATCCTGCTTGGGCGGGGGATTGGACTAGATGACCTACAAGGTACCTTCCAACTCTGTAATTCTAATTCTAATACCACCAATTTCCTTTGACCATTAGTAGTTCAGATTCTTCTAGAGAGTGATACCATGCAATAAGCCTGCATTCATTTGAACCGCCTTGATTCCTGATTCCCTGCGCTTCATAGTTTTGATGCCATGTCTCATCACATCACTGGAGTCTGTTGGTCACCGATCTCTGATGCCCAATCTCCTTTGGCTTTTTTTTTAGCAGCCTTTGAAAAAAATAAATGGTTGGCCAAGACCAAGGGGGGGGAGAGAAGAAGAAGAACCATAAGAAGAACCAGAACCAGAAGAATAACCAGAACCAGAAGAAGAAGAACCAGAAGAACCAGAAGAAGAAGAAGAACCCCAACAACAGTCTTTGTGATCAGTTTAGTTTGACTTCAGCTATGCTCTCAGAGAGCAAATGGATTGTCATTAACTAACAATCGCTCATTAGCTTTGGAGCCAGCTGCTGCTTTGCTCTCATTGCAGCATATGCAAATCATAGGACTACGTTTGGGTGTTTCATTGGCTCCTTGTAGGGTAGCAATATCCCCATTGGTCAGTTTTACCCCTTTGGGTAAAAGTTCCCACTTACAAGTAAAGTGGATTCAGCTGACTGCTGATCAAGAGGAATACAGGAAGTCCTTGACTTGCAAGAGTTCCTTTAGTGACAGTTCGAAGTTACAACAGTGCTGAAAATAATGACTTACGACCATTTTTCACACTTATGACCATTTCAGTATCCCCAGGGTGTCACATGATCAAGATAAGAGATTCTTGGCAACTGACTCATATTTACAATACTTGCAGCATCCCAGAGTCAAGTGATCCCCTTTTTCGAACTTCTGACAAGCAAAGTCAACTTGGGAAGCCAGAGTCACTTAACCACCCCTGCTACAAACTTAACAGCTGCAGCAATTCACTTAACAGCTATGGCAAGTAAGATTGTACAGCGGGACACAGCTCACTTAAGAACTGTCTCGCTCAGCAATGGAAATTTTGGGCTCACTTGTGGTCATAAGTCAAGGACTACCTATATAGCTACCTACAGATAGTCCTCGACGTACAACCATTTGTTTAGCAACCCTTTGAAGTTACAGTGACACTGCAAAAAGTTACTTAGCACTGGTCCTTTCACTTATGACCCTTCCCATGGTCATCTGATCAAAATTTGGGTTTGGGGGGCAGCTGCCATGTATTTATAATGGTTGCAGCATCCTGGTGTGTGTGTGTGTATGTGCGCACGCTCAATGCAATTGCCATTTGCAACCTCCCCAGCCACTTGTAACAAGCAAAGTCAACAGAGGAAGCCATTTGTTTTAACGGCCATGTGATTCACCTAACAGCTTCAGTGTTTCGTTTAACAACTGTGACACAAAAGGTTGCAAAACTGGGTTTAAACTCACTGACAACAGTGGAAATTCTCGTCCCAGTTGGGATCATCCTGCATAGAGTTCTGTTGCACGGAGAATTGTGTTCTTTAGCAAACTAAGTATTGGGTGTAATGACATTTATGGAGCCCTGATGAAATCTATTATAAAAATAATTTAGGATGTCCATAAACTTTTTTTTCATATTTGATTTAATGTCCTTTAAGAGGCTTTTATGACTCGTGGACTTCAATTCCCAGAATTTCTGAGTCAGCTGGCTCAGGAATTCTGGGAGTTGAAGTCCATGAGTCATAAAAGAGCCAAGATTGCCTACCCCTGGGCTAGGAGACACCTGGTTACTTCTGCTGCAACATATGAAGAAACTTTTCACGGCAGCAACCTTGGGGGAATCCAGCCATTGCTGTAGCACCATTAAAGTACTGTTGGCATCATTATGCATTGCCCTGACTCCTTTCATTCTGTGTTTTGCAGTGTGGAAAACAGCAGGATAAGGCCATGTAATTCAGGGCCTGGAACGAGACAAGGATAGCTTCATGGTGATAGGGTATGAAATCTAGGTTGTTAGGCTGTTCTGGTAAATCAGTGAGGAAGAAAGGCTTTAATTGGTTTCTCTTACTGTTTGATACATTTTATGGTAACTTAGAAATCCTCCATACATAAAAAAGATAATTATGAGTTGGAAAGAGACTCTGTAATCAGCCATATCATATAGTAGTGATGGCGAACCTTTTAGAGACCTAGTGCCCCAAAAACTGCCTCCCACCCCCATCCCTGCTCTGCCCTGCCCACTGGGCCACCCATCACCTCCATGGCCCGCCACAGATCACCCAGGCAGCCCAGCAGTGCCATGGCAGCCACGCCCTCCGCCCATGCCTTGCAGCATCATCTGCGCATGACAGGGCGCAAGGGCAGAGTTTGTCCCTGTTGCTCAGCTACCATGTCCTTGGTTGTGCTGCTTTGCATGGGCTGTGACTGGGGGTGACTCTCCTCTGGGGGGGCTGCTGGTAAAGAGGGAGCCATGGGAGAAGGTGGGGCTGGGGCAATGGTGTATGTGCCCATAGAGAGGGCTCCGAGTGCCACCTCTGGCACGCGTGCCACAGGTTCGCCACCACTGAGTCAACCTTGAGCTCATCAAGATTGAATTCCTGGCAGTGGGCAGAGTTAGCCTGCAATGCTGCATTCTAACCACTGTACCACCAGTGGACTCCTGAGAATGTTTGCAGGGCACACAACACAAAGTGGCTTCAGAGAAACCAGGACTAGGTCAAGAAACCAGTGAAATCAGATTTCACTGATTAAGGCTAAAGCCTTGTGTCTTGCTCTCATGTATTGCCTGACATCCTGTCTCACTGGAGCAAAGCTGAAGAGAATTTGTTTTAGAATGTGCCTCACAGGGAGAAGAAACTAGAATTGGAGGAGAGGAAGAAAAAGGCAAGGGACATTTGCAAGGTGGGTGAGTTGATAGATGGATAGGTTTAAGCCAGGGGTCTTCAAACTTGGCCCTTTTATGACTTTTGCCTGGCTGAGGAATTCTGGGAGTTGAAGTCATAAAAGGGTCAAGTTGGAAGACCCCTGGTTTAAAACAAGTCCAAATGGCAGCCATGATTCCATGATTAAAATGTCACTCCTTTACACACGATGTAAAGAGTGGAGCTTCAATTAGACAATTGTGGTCATCTTCATTTTTTTTAACACTCCTTCCCCCAGCAAAGCCCCTAAAAGGACATAGTTATGTGACCACTGTCCTCAAAAAGTGGCAAAGGATGGATAGGAGGAATTGACAGCAAAATTCCTTTCAGAACAGTGTTTTTAAAAGAGCTGTGTTTTTAAATATCATATTTTAATTTTTGTAATTCTTTTGCTTTAAGGAAGTTATCTTCAAGTTTTGTCTGTTTGTTTTGTTTCAAGCCCCACATATGTTTCCTTCAGGAGGTAGGATGCTAATAAACAATCATGTAAGATTTATAATAAAGGAATAAAAGAAAATCTAAAATTAATAAATAACAAATAAGCAGAGTGAGAAAGGTCTGGATTGTCAGATCAGAACCTAAAGAGATAACAAAATCATGCTTTAAAATAAGAAATACTTGATACCTTCCTCCATACCATGCCACCACTACACAACGTTTACCCGCAACCACAACATCCTCTCTGAAAAAGCGGAATGTAGCCCAACCCTGCGTTTCCTGCCTGCTCATCTGAACAAAAGTCTGTTTGTTCAAGAAGCGTTCGTTGGAGAGTGTGCCTGAAGGAAGACAGACAATAATTTCCTACTCTCCCATTTGTGGAAAGCCAGTCTACATGGGTAAGTCTTGTGATCTTACGACTGTTTTAAAATTTAGATCACATCTGTTCAGAAATACTGAACAGAAATACTGGATGTTGTGAATGAGCCATAATGGTGCAGTGGTTAGAATGTAGTAATGAAGACTGACTCTGCATTCCCACAGCCAGGAGTTCGATCCTGACCTGCTCAAAGTTGACTCAGCCAGCCATCCTTCCGAGGTCGGCAAAATGAGGGCCCAGATTCCTGGGGGCCATACGCTGACTCTAATAAGCTGCTTAAAGAGGCCTGTAAAACACTATGAAGCATTATATAAGTCTAGGTGCTGTTGCTATGCTCTAGCCATGATGAATAGCCTGATGATCCCATTTTTAAAACTTTACTCACAGAAGAAACTGTCAATAAAGAAGGACATCTTTAAGTCTGGGCTGAAATGTGGGCTCTTGGGTGCTCTCTGAGCTTGTTTTTTTCTTTCTTTCTTGCAGACATTTCATAATCCAAACTAGGTAACATCATCACTGAAGCTAAGAAGTGGAGTTTTCTCTCACTTTATGTAGAAAAAAACTATTTTATTTGAACAGCCAAGAAAGTATAAATGGATTTCACATGTGTTGGTTTGGGAAGTCAACTGCATAGGCCTGAAATGTACTATGAAAGGATCATTAGTTCTACCACAATGTTCTTATAAAGAGAGGGATTCAGGAATATTTAAGATGCCTTCTTCTAATTCAGGAAATACGTTCATCTTTTTAATTCTGAGCCCTGCCTCTCCACGGCCAAAGCCACACTGCCAGTTCTGTTTCTAGAGCTTGAAATTAGACATGTTGCATGAGGGAGGTCCAAATTAGGAAATAGCTCCATGTGACTGTCCCTCAAGTTAATTATACACAGTTTCATCCTAATTATTTGCCTCTTATGTTCCTTTGACATATGGTCTTTTATTCAGCTTTATCATCATTGGGTCTTCCCATTTTACCGTATGTTTGAAAACAGTTTCTTTAAAACTGTTCCCTAGAATTGTCCCTGTAGGCCAAAAGGAACTTGAACCTTTTTTATACCTTTTATACCTTCAAATAATTAAATGCAAGTTAGCTATTATTTAAAGTAATATTATTAGTATTATTAGTATTATTTAAAGTCTTCCCCAACCTAGTATCTTTCAGATGAACTGTGGCTCCCATTATTCACCCATTATAGCAAACAAAATGAAGGTGTCTTCTCTTGGACTCTCCATGCCCAAAGAGAAACCTCCAGCAATTTCTTTGTAATGGAACCAACTAAAGAATTTGTGCTGCACTATACTTTCCTATAGCAACATTTGCAGATGTTTCAGCAAGGCTGGAAGAGAGCTCAGGGGAGACAGAGAAGAAACATGGACAAAAAAATTTTCTCTCTTTCAACGGAAAGGCTTTTGAGAAGCTGCTTGAGAGCAGAAATTTGAGCCAATCCCTCCCTTCCATTTTTTCATACTGTGTCCTATGTTAAACTGATTTTTCCATTTTTTTGTGGGGTTTTTTTGATCTATCGAAGCATCCTAGCACTGAAACCTAAAATAATGAAATAACCCTTGGAAATACGTTTAAGTGGTTTTATTTTTCTGCCTGATATGAAAAATCCTGAGCCATTTGAAGGTTTGAAATCCTGAAACGTACCTTGGGTAGATTTTATTCCATGTTTGGGGTTTGGATCAATTGTCTCTTTCACTCTCATTTTAAACAGGTCCTGTTTTATACAAATACTCTTCTTCCTTTTCCAATGTATAGATTTCCTCAACTTCAGTGCTTGTAGCAAACTACTGCTATAGGGTTTCCTGCCTGCAGGGGGTTGGACTAGATGACCTCCAAGGTCACTTCCAACTCTATTATTATTATTGATCATCGCACAGTCAGCCAGATGTTCACACTGGATTTGGCATTTTTGTTTACCTATCGAGTCCTTACCAAGGACCTGGGAGAGGCAGATGTGGATGTTTGATGGTATTACAAATATCGTCGCAGGATGGAAGCAGTTCCTAGTAAGGCTGCCTTTTGCAATTGACTAATGGCGAATTTGTCAATACCAATGGTGTTCATAGGGGACTGGAGGCTAAAACATATAAGGAACAGTTGCTAGAATTGGGTCTGTCTAGTTTAACGAAGAGAAGGACAAGGGGGGACATGATAGCTGTATTCCAATATCTCAGGGGCTGCCATAAAGAAGAGGGAATTAAGCTATTTTCCAAAGCACCTGAAGGCAGGACAAGAAGCAACGGATGAAAACTGATCAAGGAGAGAAGCAACCTAGAACTAAGGAGAAACTTCCTGACAGTGAAAACAATTAATCAGTGCAACAGCCTGCCTCCAGAAGCAGTAAATGCTCCAACACTGGAAGTTTTTAAGAAGAGACTGGACAGCCATTTGTCCGAAATGGTGTAGGGTTTCCTGCCAGAACAGAGGGTTGGACTAGATGACCTCCAAGGTCCCTTCCAACTTTACTACTATTACTATTACTAAGTGGTGTTCCACTTGTTTTTTATTATCATTATTATTATTGTTCTTGTTATTATTACTATTATTATTACTATTACTATCATCTCTAATCTTTCTAAGGAAAGAACTACAGGTAGTTCTTGAATTACAGCACTTCATTTAGTGACCATTCAAAGTTACAATGGCTCTGGAAAAAAGTGAGTTATGACAGTTTTTTCACACTTATGGCCATGCAGCATCACGGTCACATGATCAGAATTCAGATGCTTGGCAACTGACTCATATTTGTGACCGTTGCTACGTCTTGGGATCATGTGATTCCCTTTTGCCGCCTTCTGAAGAGCAAAGTCAATGGGGAAGCCAGATTCACTAAACAACCGTGTTACTAACTTAACAACTACAGTGATTCACTTAGCAACTGTGGCAAGAAAGGTTGTAAAATGGAGCAAACTTCACGTAACAAATGTTTCACTTAGCAACAGAAACGTCAGGCTCAACTGTGGTTGTAAGTCAAGGACTACCTGTACTCATTAGGGTAGGTGGACCTTCCAAATCTGACTTTGTATGTCTTAAGACAGTGGTCCCCGACCTTTGTGGCTTGGCAACCCAGCTGGGGGGTGCCCAGCTCAATTTCTGCAAGTTGAGCTGCATGCCTGGGTGCACACCAGCCTGCCGCTCGCATGGCCCCCCTGTTCCAAATGGGTGACGCAACTTGGAGTTGGGGACCCCTGTTTTAAGGCACATATTTGAGAGACTTGATCTAATCTCTCAAAGCTAGGCAGCTTGAGGTTAATCTAAACGAGAGATCGGACATTCTGTGCTCCATTGTAGAACCTGTGGTAGTTCTATTTCATGCTGTATTCTTTACCATAGGGGTCTCCAACCCCTGGGGCCATGGCATGCCAGCAACCAGGCCATATAAACAAGCAAAGCCCCATTCGTGAGATGCAGACAGCACACAACCCCGCTCCCCAGTCCACGGGAAAACCTCTCTCTATAGAACCGGTCCCCGGTGCTCAAAAGGTTGGGGACCTCTGCTTTACCATATTCTTCCATTCCCCCCCTACCTGAATGGTGTATATTCATTTTGACAGAGAAAATAGTCACCACCTCTCATTTTTCTCCTGTTTATGGTAGCAGAAGAGATATCCCCACATCAATCTGGATCTATTTCCAATAAATCTGGGAAAAGTCCGTCCGTGTGCTTCACAGACTCCAGATAATCACTTTTGGCTTCGTGGACGCCCAGCTGCCATTGTTGCAGAGGTTCCAAATTTATAGGGAAACTAAACACATTTCCTCCCCAAAAAAGGGCAACTGTGTCTTTTCTGTATTGGGAAGAGATGTGCATCCCCTCCGTTCTTCTCCCTGTCTCGTGATACTCTTTTTTTTTCATTATTATCATCTATTTATGAGCATGACAGCTGCAAAAGCCACGAAGACAGTGCAGTCCTTCCCTGAAAGCAAAACAATAAAGCCACAACAGCAGAAAACAGGGTTGAAATATTAACGTCATGAAAAAAGCACCCTAAAAGTAACTTTAAAGGTCATTGTAAAGCCAGTCTACCCCTCCCCCCCCCCTTAAAAATTGCACGGATGTTTCTTTCAAAAGAAAGCCTTTACAATACCTTGAATTTTTTGCTTCAAGCCGGGTTTTGAAGGTATCACATTTATTCTATTTGAAGCTGCAGTTATTTTGTCGCTGGGGAAATCATTGTGTTAGTATTGGACAGCCACTACAGAACAGCCTTCTCTTATCTAGTGCCTTCCATAAGTGTTGGTCTTCGTGTCCCATTTCTCCAAACAGCACAGCAGAAAGTGGGCACATTGTCCACTAGTTGCCTAGAGTTGTTTGCTTAGAATAGGCAGCCATACACGTAGTCCCTGACTTACAACCATTTGTTTAGTGACAGCACTGAAAAAAGTGACTTACAACCAGTTTTCACACTTACGACCATTGCAGCATCCCCATGGTCACGTGATCAAAATTTGGATGGATGGCAAAAAGGCATGTATTGATGACAGCTGCACTGTCCTGGGGTCATGTGATCACTCTTTGCAACCTTCCCAGCTGGCTTTCGACAAGTAAAGTCAATGGAAGAAGCCCGATTTGCTTAATGTCCAAATAAATCACTTAACAATGGCAGTGATTCGCTTTACAATGGTGGCAAGAAAGGTCGTAAAAAGGGGCCAAAACCCACTTAACAACTGTTTTACTTAGCAACAGAAATTTGGGGTTCAATTGTGGTCATAAGTCAAGGACTACCTGTCTAAATTGGCAAGTAAATAAATAAATGAAACGGCATAAAAGGAAAGGTGTTGCGGAGGGAAGATGAGAAGAAGCATTGGGACCATCGTACCCTATCTTGCCAGGGAGTGGGATGGGCTAGTCTCCCTGTTGCCATGATACAATTTTTGAAAGTCTGGCATGCAGTTTCTCAGGAGCAATTGGATTTCTGGTTGATGGATGGAGCAAGAGATGGCTGTCCTTCAACTCACCACTCTCAAAATAACAATTGCCTGAAGTTCTCTCTGGCATGCGAGGGCAAAGGG